ATGACATGATACTCTACATAGAAAACCCAAAAGACTCCACCCCAAGAATGCTAGAACTCATACATCAATTCGGCAGTGTGGCAGGATACAAAATCAATGCCCAGAAGTCAGTGGCATTTCTTTTTTTTTTTTTTAAGATTTTATTTATTTACTCATAGAGACAGAGAGAGAGAGAGAGGCAGAGACACAGGCAGAGGGAGAAGCAGGCTCCATGCAGAGAGCCCGATGTGGGACCCAATCCAGGGTCCCCAGGATCACGCCCCGGGCTGCAGGCGGCACTAAACCCTTGCGCCACCGGGGCTACCCCGTCAGTGGCATTTCTATACACTAACAATGAGACTGAAGAAAGAGAAACCAAGGAGTCAATCCCATTTACAATTGCACCCAAAAGCATAAGATACCTAGGAATAAACCTAACCAAAGAGGTAAAGGATCTATACCCTAAAAACTACAGAACACTTCTGAAAGAAATGGAGGAAGACAGAAAAAGATGGAAAAATATCCATGCTCATGGATTGGAAGAATTAATATTGTGAAAATGTCAATGTTGCCCAGGGCAATTTACACATTTAATGCAATCCCTTTCAAAATACCATGGACTTTCTTCAGAGAGTTGGAAGAAATCATCTTAGGATCTGTGGAATCAGAAAAAAAACCAAATAGCCAGGGGATCATGGAAAAGAAACCAGGAACCCCTGGGTGGCCCAGCAGTGAGTGGGCCTGCCTTCGGCCCAGGGCGTGATCCTGGAGTCCCAGGTTCGAGTCCCACATCAGGCTCACTTCATGAAGCCTACTTCTCTCTCTGCCTATGTCTCTGCCCCCCCTCTGTCTTTCATGAATAAATAAATAAAATTAAATAGAAAGAAAACCAGAGCCGAGGGCATCACAATGCCCGATTTCAGGTTGTACTACAGAGCTGTGATCATCAAGAGACTGTGGTACTGGCACAGAAACAGACACATAGATCAATGGAACAAAGTAGAGAATCTAGAAATGGGCCCTCAACTCTATGGTCAACTAATATTCAACAAAGCAGGGAAGAATATCCACTGGTAAAAAGGACAGTCTCTTCAATAAATGTTACTGGGAATATCGGACAGCCACATGCAGAAGAATGAAACTAGACCATTCTCTTACACCATACACAAAGATAAACTCAAAATGGATGAAAGATCTAAATGAGAGACAAGAATCCATCAAAATCCTAGAGGAGAACACAGGCAACACCCTTTTTGAACTCGGCCACAGTAACTTCTTACAAGATACATCTATGAAGGCAAGGGAAACAAAAGCAAAAATGAACTATTGGAACCTAATCAAGATAAAAAGTTTCTTCATAGCAACAGATATAGTCAACAAAACTAAATGACAATCTACAGAATGAGAAAGATATTTGCAAATGACCTATCAGATAAAGGGCTAGTATCCAAGATCTATAAAGAACTTAGTAAACTCAACATCAAAGAAACAAACAATCCAATCATGAAATGGGAAAAGACATGAACAGAAATCTCACAGAGGAAGTCATAGAAATGGCCAACAAGCACATGAGAAAATGCTCTGCATCACTGGCCATCAGGGAAATCCAAATCAAAACCACAATGAGATACCACCTCACACCAGTGAGAATGGTGAACATTAACAAGGCAGGAAACAACAAATGTTGGAGAGGATGTGGAGACAGGGGAATCCTGTTGCACTGTTGGTGGGAATGTGAACTGGTACAGCCACTCTGGAAAACTGTATGGAGGTTCCTCAAAGAGTTAAAACTAGATCTGCACTGCTGGGGATTTACCCCCAAAGATACAGATGCAGTGAAATGCCAGAACACTTGCACCCCAATGTTTATAGCAGCAATGTCCACAATAGCCAAACTGTGGAAGGAGGCTCGGTGTCCATCGACAGATGAATGGATAAAGAAGCTGTGGTGTATGTATACAATGGAATATTACTCAGCCATTAGAAATGGCAAACACCCCCCATTTGCTTCGATGTGGATGGAACTGGGGGGTATTATGCTGAGTGAAGTAAGTCAATCGGAGGACAAACATTATATGGTCTCATTCATTTGGGGAATATAAAAAAATAGTGAAAGGGAATAAAAGCGAAAGGAGATAAAATGAGTGAGAAATACCACTGAGGGTGACAGAATATGAGAGACACCTAACTCTGGGAAATGAACAAGGGGTAGTGGAAGGGGAGTTGGGCGGGGGGTTGGGGGTGACTGGGTGACAGGCACTGAGGGGGGCACTTGATGGGATGACCACTGGGTGTTATGCTATATGTTGGCAAATCGAACTCCAATAAAAAATATACAAACTCCCCCCCCCCAAAAATAGAACAATCTAAAGATATCCAGAGTCAAATCCTGACTCTACCACTAGTTGTGTGTCCTTACAAAATTAATTCAGCTAATCTGAACCTTAGTTTTCTCATTATAAGGTGAAGATAAGTGTAGAATTAGTCACGTTTCTTGCGTTTATTCAGTTTATATATGCATAGCACTTGCATTAAACAGTGCTCAGCACCCATAGTTAAGTGCTATATATATTAACAGTAATTATTGTTATTCTTATTATAAATTCTTTTTTTTTATAAATTAATTTTTATTGGTGTTCAATTTACCAACATACAGAATAACACCCAGTGCTCATCCCGTCAAGTGTACCCCTCAGTGCCCGTCACCCATTCACCCCCACCCCCCACCCTCCTCCCCCTCCACCACCCCTAGTTCATTTCCCAGAGTTAGAAGTCTTTATGTTCTGTCTCCCTTTCTGATATTTCTCACACATTTCTTCTCCCTTCCCTTATATTCCCTTTCGCTATTATTCATATTCCCCAAATGAATGAGAACATACACTGTTTGTCCTTCTCCGGTTACTGTGGCCAAGTTCAAAAAGGGTGTTGCCTGAGTTCTTCTCTGGGATTTTGATGGAATCTTGTCTCACATTTAGATCTTTCATCTATTTTGAATTTATCTTTGTGTATGGTGCAAGAGAGTGGTCCAGTTTCATTCTTCTGCATGTGGATGTCCAATTTTCCCAGCACCATTTATTGAAGAGACTGTCTTTCTTCTAGTGGATCGTCTTTCCTCCTTTATCGTATATTAGTTGAGCATAAAGTTCAGGGTCCACTTCTGGGTTCTCTGTTCTGTTCCATTGATCTATATGTCTGTTTTTGTGCCAGTACCACACTGTCTTGATGAACACAGCTTTGTAGTACAACCTGAAATCTGGCATTGTGATGCCCCCAGATATGGTTTTCTTTTTTTAAAATTCCCCTGGCTGTTTGGGGTCTTTTCTGATTCCACACAAATCTTAAAATAATTTGTTCTAAGTCTCTGAAGAAAGTCCATGGTATTTTGATAAGGATTGCATTATACGTGTCAATTGCCCTGGGTAACATTGACATTTTCACAATATTAATTCTGCCAATCCATGAGCATGGAATATTTTTCCATCTCTTTGTGTCTTCCTCCATTTCTTTCAGAAGTGTTCTGTAGTTTTTAGGGTATATTTTGAGAACCATTTGAATGGTAAATGGTTCTCCAACCTTTTATTTTCAGGTTGTAGGTGTTAAATGTTAGCTGTTGTTATTTCAAAGGATCTGTTTTTCCACCGTTGCCTTTAACAGTGAATAATTGGAAGCACTAAAAAATAAATGAGCATTTAGAGCTGGATAGAAAATCTAAAGGCATCTCTTTCATTAGCGCTGCTTCCTTAAAATATTGTCGGTAGCCAGATTCCATCACATTCACTCCTTGAGTTCCATTAAGAAGATAAGTTGGGACATCAGCTAGAGAAATCCCAATCTCTAGACTGCGGTTGAGGGAGGAGAATCTCATGTGACAGATGTGAGGTCAGTTTAGTAATGAATACAAAAATTATCTATGATTGAGTAGCTAAATTCATCTTCAGTTTCTCAAAAGAAGGACAGTTGGCAATTATTTGAGCTAACTGCAGCTTCCCATTTATCTCTAACCCCACTCCCCTCTACTTCACCATTGTCTTACACTCATGTCTGAAGTCTCATGGATGTAAATTATGAGTTTTGATCAGTAGTGCACTGCCAAATATTTAACAACTGGGGGAGAGGATGTCCTGGTTTATTCCAAGTACAATCCCTCCCACCATGACCTGTTTCAAACTACTGATATAATTCCACTGAATGCAGATTTGGGACATAATAGGCATAATCAGCTTATATGAGCTGGTACTAACTGGCTTCAGCACACTATTGGTTTTGATGTTGACACCCTAGATGGAGAAGAATTTTTTAAAAACCTCCTCGCTTTTTGGTTGTGTATATATCTACTTTGTTTTATCAGTCTTTCCCCTCAAATGTGTGGTCACTTTGCCCTTTGATGTGAAAGTACTACAAAGGAATTCAGACATCTCTGGAAACAGTAGTGTAGAATTTCATCATACATTTTTTATTATTTTTTTAAATTATTTATTTATGATAGTCCTACAGAGAGAGAGAGAGAGGCAGAGACAAGGCAGAGACATAGGCAGAGGGAGAAGCAGGCTCCATGCACTGGGAGCCCGACGTGGGATTCGATCCCGGGTCTCCAGGATCGTGCCCTGGGCCAAAGGCAGGCGCCAAACCGCTGCGCCACCCAGGGATCCCTCATCATACATTTTTATATGAGATACTTAAAAGTTCTTTATGGGAATAAGTCAATTACTATTTCCCTTTATTCTGTTTGAAGAAAATATTGACCACATATCTAAGGGCTTCCAAAGATGATTTCTTTATTAGGAGTTCCAACTCCACTATATCCTCCCAACTGGCTGAGTGCCCTCTCTCAAAGATAACAAGCTAGTTGTTAACACAATAGGACATCTATATGTGCCTGTTAAGAACATAAAATTTTGTGCCCAATGTAGGGGAGGTCCTCCCCAGTCGTTTTCAATCATGCAGATAAAGTCTCCAGCCTAATGATAATGGCACTTCTTTCCTGCACCAATGTCTGTCTTCTTTCCTTTGGCTAATTTCAGATGCTTCAAAGAAAGGTGTGTCATGAACAACTATTTTGGAATTGGATTGGATGCTAAAATTTCTCTGGAATTCAACACCAGAAGAGATGAACACCCAGGACAATACAAGTAAGGAGAAGAAACTTTCTACCTTTATTCTGTCTATGAGAGTTCCTTACATCAGATGGGGTAAAATCAATGGATCCAGGGGATCAGGTTAGGAACACCAAGAACCAGTAGGGCAATATTTGATAATTTATCGCCTTGCCAAGCAAAAGCAGACTTAAGCCACTACTAGGACTTGGTCAAGCTCTCATAGACAGAACAAAGGTAGAAAACTTGCTCAATCAAGTCAGTGTAATCTATTTTCAACAACAGTAACACTATGAGCTGTGTTACACAGCAATCATAGGTCTATACTATGTAGGCAGCTCCAAGGTCAGGATGCCAGGGCAGAGTCATCACAGATCAGGTCAACATTTGTAGCAACACATCTCACTAAGCTAATGTTGGGACCAATGTTTTTTACTTCTAAAGAATCTCTTTCTTTTTCTTGCTTGTCTGAAAGTTAGGGTATGTAGGAATATATGTGTATATTGTAATTGTGTGTTTGCATGTAGAGAGGGGAGTTTCTTCTCCCCTCTTATATTACTTTTGTACTACAGACATAACCTAGGGCATCCTGAGTTCTTGTAAATTGAATCTACAAGTAAAAAAAAAAAGCAGTAGCCCCACCACCACTCCTGCCACTTGCTGCCAGAACCTCTTCCTCAGAGCAGACCTGGGCTGAGAAACAAGTCTTTATCAGAGATGTGTTTTACAAATATTACTTTCCAGCTGCTAGTCTCTTTTACAACTCATTTTATAGTGAACATTTTAAAATAGATATACATAGATGTACATAGAAAAAGGTTTATAATTATAAAACAATGTTACCAGTGATTATTTCATAAGGATTCAATTGTGGTGAGTTTGCTTTCTACTTTGTATATTTCTTTTTTTAATTATTGAAGTATAATTGACATACAATATTATATTAGGTTCAGGTGTAAAACATACTGATTCAACAATTCTATACATTTCTCAATGCTCACCAGGATAAGTATAGTTACCATCTGTCACCATACAATGTTATTAAAATATTATTGACTCCATTCCCTATGCTGTATATTTCATCTTTGTGACTTGTTTATATTATAACTGGAAATGTGTACCTCTTAATCTCCTTTATCTATTTTGCTCATCTCCCCACCCACATCCCCTCTGGCAACCACCAGTTTGTGCTCTGTATTTATGAATATTTTTCTATTTCTTTGTTTGTTTTGTTTTTAGATTCTACATATAAGTGAAATTATACAGGATTTGTCTTTCTCTGTCAAACTTATCTTACTTAGTATAATACTCTCTGGGTACATCCATACTGCTACAAATGACAAGATTTCATTCTGTTGCTTGTCTTTTTTTTTGTTGTTGTTGTTCTTTTAATTTTATTTAATAGTGCCTTTTGAAATACAAGTGTTTTGAATTTTGATGAGTTCCAATTGATGAAGTGTTTTATTTTATGAACCATGCTTTTCATGCCATATCTAAAAGGTTTCGCCTAACTTAAGGTCTTAAAATTTTTCTCCTAAGTTTTCTTCTAAAATTTGTGTTGTTTTTGCTCTTGGATTTAAGTCTATGATCTGCTTTGAGTTAGGTTTTGTGTATGGTGTGAGGTAAGGGTCTAAGTTCATTTTTTGCAAATGAAGATCTAAGCACAGCACCATTTTTGAAGCTATCCTTTCTCCCAAAGAATTGTGTTGGTACCTTTGTCAAAAATCAATTGATGAAAAATGTAAGATTTTTTTCTAGACTCACTTCTGTTCCATTATTCTATATGTCTATCCTCACACTGTCTCAATAACTGTAGCTTTGTAGTAAGTTTTGAAATTGGAAGATGAAAGTCCTGCAACTTTATTCTTTTTCGGAATTGTTTTGGTTGTTCTAGGTATTTTGAATTTCCATAGAACTTCTTACCTTTCAAAACTCATGCCTTGTAGTGACTTATTGTAACTCCACTTGAAAAGCTCATAGTATTCATCTTATTTTTATTTTCCATTCCCTTCCCCTATGTTCATCTGTTTTGTTTTTTTTCTTAATAATAAATTTATTTTTTATTGGTGTTCAATTTGCCAACATACAGAATAACACCCAGTGCTCATCCCGTCAAGTGCCCCCCTCAGTGCCCGTCACCCATTCACCTCCACCCCCCCCGCCCTCCTCCCCTTCCACCACCCCTAGTTCATTTCCCAGAGTTAGGAGTCTTCATGTTCTGTCTCCCTTTCTGATATTTCCTACCCATTTCTTCTCCCTTCCCTTCTATTCCCTTTCACTATTATTTATATTCCCCAAATGAATGAGAACATATAATGTTTGTCCTTCTCTGATTGACTCATTTCACTCAGCATAATACCCTCCAGTTCCACCCACGTTGAAGCAAATGGTGGGTATTTGTCATTTCTAATGGCTGAGTAATATTCCATTGTATACATACACATCTTCTTTATCCATTCATCTACCAATGGACACCGAGGCTCCTTCCACAGTTTGGCTATTGTGGACATTGCTGCTATAAACATCGGGGTGCAGGTGTCCTGGCGTTTCATTGCATCTGTATCTTTGGAGTCAAAGGACTTACAGTTTACAGAATCAGAGGATACTCCCCCTTGTTATCTGTTTTGTTTCTTAAATTCCACATATGAGTGAAATCATATGGTATTTGTCTTTCTTTGACTGACTTATTTTGCTCAGCATAATACACTCTAGTTCCATCCACATTGACACAAATGGAAAGATTTCATTCTTTTTGATGGCTGAGTAATATTCCCGTGTGTGTGTGTGTGTGTGTGTGAGTGTGTATCATATTTTTTTAATCCATTCTTCTGTTGATGGAGGCAAACCATAACAGACTCTTAACTCTAGGGAACGGTTGCTGGAGGGGAGGTGGATAGGGGAGTGGGATAAATGGGTGGTGGGCATTAAGGAAGGCACTTGATGTAATGAGCATTGGGTGTTGTATGCAACTGATGAATCACTGAATTCTACCTCTGAAACTAAAAATATAGTATATGTTAATGAAGTTGAATTTAAATTTTAAAAATTTAAGGAAAGAAAAAAATGGAAGAAAGTGAGTGAGTGAGTGAGTGAGTGAGTGAGTGAGTGAAGAACTTTGGGAAGTAACCTGAGTTCCATGGTCATACTTCTAAATGGCCTTGCTAACTACCAAAAGGAAGCTGTGCAGTGGAAGAATATTTCTCATTATACAGTACATGGAATAATAGTAACTATAAAATCTCACACTTGTATTACTTTTCATTAGGCATCAAAATCAAAATCAGGTGTAAAAACTCAGGGTCTAAAATGCTGTACAAGAATAACACAAGAATGATTATGTACTATACTTATTAAAATATACATACATCTGATTTTTTCCAGTAAAATGTATGAAAATAATAATTTTAAAAAGCTCATAGTAAACTCTACCCAACCTTTTTTTAAATTTTTATTTATTTATTCATGAGAGACACAGAGACACAGGCAGCGGGAGAAGCAGGCTCCATGCAGGGGGCCTGATGTGGGACTCGATCCCAGGTCTCCAGGATCACACCCTGGGCTGAAGGCAGGGTGAAACAACTGAGCAACCAGGGCTGCCCTCTATCCAACCTTTATAGTGATTGTAAGCCCCCTGCCTATTTTTATCAGAGATCCTACATTGAGTAAAACTGTCCTTCCCACCTCCCCCACTCCCAAGTCTCCTGATATCCGTTGCCTGTCCCATATTCTCTCCACTGGCTCCTCCTCTACAATCTGCCTAGTAGGCTTAGTTCTATTCTATGGCATTGGTTTGATATATAGGTCTTGGAAAATTCCTCCACTTTGCCAGAAAAGTTTTACTTCAAGTGTATTGCCATAGAAGAGTCATATGTTTCAAATGAAATTGATCCCAAGCAGATGAAACTTTGTGCTCCTGGAATGGAACTTGCCAGACTAGCTGGTGTGTATAAACCAGCTATGCTCATACTTTTTTGTGAGTATTGCTTTCTTTTTTTTTAATTAATTAATTAATTAATTAATTAATTAATTATTTTTTTATGATAGTCACAGAGAGAGAGAGAGAGAGGCAGAGACATAGGCAGAGGGAGAAGCAGGCTCCATGCACTGAGAGCCCGATGTGAGATTCGATCCCGGGTCTCCAGGATCGCGCCCTGGGCCAAAGGCAGGCGCCAAACCACTGCGCCACCCAGGGATCCCTGAGTATTGCTTTCTGAATATAGCTTGCATCTTCTAATTCTGAGTTAATATCAGCATCAAGGAAAAGCAGCCAATTGAGGTGATGATGAGGCTTCCAGAGGGCCCAGGAACCCTTTCAGCAGATGTTTGCATAGGGATGCCAGTTATATTATCCTGGTATCCCCTCTTGTGTCTCGCTACCATTGTGACATGACTATTCTCTATAAGAAGGTAATTGAAGATGGTACTGGCACAAAAATAGACACACAGATCAATGGAACAGACTAGAGAGCCCAGAAATAAACCGATGATTAAATGGTCTATTACTCTTCAACAAAGGAGGCATGAATATGCAATAGGAAAAGTCCCAACAAATGATGTTGGGAAAATTGGACAGCTATATGCACAAGTATGAAACTGGACCACTTTCTTATACCATATGTAAAAATAAACTCAAAGCAGATTAATGACCTAAGTGTGAGACCTGAAACCATAAATATCCTAGAAGAGAGCACAGGTAATAATTTCTCTGACATAGGCTGTAGCAACATTTTTCTAGATATGTCTCCTCTGGCATGGGAAACAAAAGCAAAAATAAACTATTGGGACTACATCAAAATAAAAAGCTTTTACTCAATAAAGGAAATAATCAGTGAAACAAAAAGACAACCTATTCAATGGGAGAAGATATTTGTAAATGATATATCCAATAAAGGGTTAGTATCCAGAGAGGGGGCAAGATGGTGGAGGAGTAGGATCCCCAAGTCACCTGTCCCCACCAACTTACCTAGATAACTTTCAAATCATCTTGAAAACCTACAAATTCGGTCTGAGATTTAAAGAGAGAACAGCTGGAATGC